TGCCCTACCACCGATGTAATATTATCACATAAATCCATTTTCATTTCCGATGGCTGAACTTAAACATTTCTATAGAAATATTTCACCTGATTTCCACCGTGGAAAGTGGAATTATCGCTGAAATTGTCGGGGGGAACTACTGATATCGCAGCACTTTTATTGTTTTATGCTCTCTTTTGTGCGGTCAGCACTAGGCCGATGGATCGAACCGGTTGTCCAGCTGTCGGTCCAATACCTGGGGCCAATACCTGCCCCACGGCTGATAAGCCACCCCGCTATATAATTTTTATTTATAAAACATAATATCGATAACTAGTTCCATGGCAGGCCATAAAATGTTCGGGCCAATAGACAACACAGCGCGTGGTTTGTCTTTTGATGGCTCATTCGCTCAAGTTGAAACGAATGTTTCCCAGTGCTGAAGTGCCTTTAGAGGGGGGAGAAAGAGATATAGGGATCTAAAGCTCTTACGAAATGGGGAAACCACACTCAATCCAATTTATTAAAATTCTATCTTTGTATCTAATCATTCAGTCGTTATTCCATTAACGTAGCGATCTGTAGCAAGAACGATATATTGTATTAATCTTTTATTCAGTCTATCAACCTTATAATCTAAGGAATATTGAATATCTAATATAGTTTAGGTCATCGATCACCTATTTTAGATGTCTCTATAGCTGTTCATAGTGCACACAGTAAGTCAGTACCAGTCCCAGTTCCAGTCCCAGTTCACACCAAACACATCTTGAAGTGCATAAATTACAAAGTTATTAGAACAAAGTCACCCTTTGCTCAACCCCATCGCCCCATACCCCCACCTGTACCCAGAATTGCCCCAACAAACGGCAATTCTCTCTCGTTAGCACATCTCGTGGTGTCGCTTACAGAACCCCTATCTGGGTCAACTGGTTTTTCGGATTTAATAAGCCCCAACGGGGTGGTTGTCGTAAAAAGGCGTTTAAACATTTCAGCATTTCTAAATAATTATTTAGCAAAACGTTAATTTACGACCTGCTGCACTCGACACGTGCAAAACGGACGCTAACGTCGCCATAGCCAAAGCTGTGTCGCCAGAGAACTCGAGAATCGGAGACCCAGAGAGAACCAGAGAGCAACACTCCAGACCCCAGACGGCACCCATATAGGCATACAATCAGAACCGAATGAAAAGCTGTTTTCAGGTTTTTATTTGCTGCGACTTTGCAATGAAATTACTGACAAGCATTCAAGCATTCAGCTTTCGTTAAAGCGAATACCCCTGCCAATTTAGAGGTACCCTCTACGCTGCTCAATTTTTTAAATTAATTTTATTTTTTTTTGTTATATTGAGTTGTTGCTTTTTGATATCCACAATTCCTTACTAGAATTCCCAGATGCAAAATGTATCTGAAATATACAATATATTTATTGAGAGTGTGTGCGTGTGAGTCATTGAGTGTGAGTGTGCTTTAAATTGCTATTTATAAACGGGGAAGTGAGAAAAGAGCTGAGGGAAACCCATAGAAGAGGCAGCAACCAGCACCCAGCACACAACGGCAGCGACAGCAGCAGTAGAGCTTCGCTTCGCTTCGTCTCGAGTTTGTTTTTGTGTTCTCCCGCTCTCTCTCAGTAGCAGGGCTCATTCATGCACTGGCAAGCGCCACTCATTGCTTGTCTCTGTGTGTGCGTGTGTGTGTGTGTGGTACTCAGAAGCGCACACACAGATACACAGCCACACATCCACAAACACAGGGAGAGCGAGAAGCAGTGGCCGGCGCACGTGGTAGCGAAACGTGATAACACAAAATACAACAACTGACAACAAAACAAACAGAAAACCTGACAACGTTGTCGCTGCCTCAGTCGCTGCCCCAGTCTCTGCCTCCGCCTCGGCTGGCGTCGCTGCCACTGGCTATGCCTGTGTCTGTGTCGCTTTTCCGCATCGTCTGCCTGTTGCCGTTGCCGTTGCCTGCCATTGGTTCCGGCCATTTGGCACATAAGCCCGGCCAATGGGCATCGACCGTGGGGCATCCTGGTGCCATTGGCAGGAGCCGTGGAGCCGCGGAGCCGAAGCAGAAACTTGTTGACTTGTTGCTGTCTCTCGTCGCTTAAAATAGTCACACTGCAGTTGAGCTCTGCGGGGCGAATACACTACGCCCAATACCCGATGTTGGATTTATTCAACCGTTTGAAATCACCTGTTCGACTCCATCAATAAGTGTGTGGGGGGGAGGGCGTACACAGGTGCACAACTGATTGGGAAAGGTTATGGAGGGCGGGTTTTCTTTTGACCAAACAGTAGAAAGCAATGCAAAAAGCGATTTTATGCTACAGAAAGGAAATATAAATGGAAGGGTTTTCCACAGATATTTATAGATTCGGGAATATGTGATGGGTTTCTGCTAGGAGGGGGGACTATAGGGTATGAAAATAGTAACAGTATAGGGAATACACTTTAAAGCATTATTTTTAATTGATAAAAAGATCAAGTATACGCTTTGTATGACGCATATTGCGCAGTGGCTCCCACTTATGGCCATTCCCCGTTGAGATGTGACCACACACACACACACAAGGGAGAGAGAGAGTGTAGGGGGACTCCCACGCCCCCGCTGCCACCTCATGACTTGGCATTTAATCAGCTTGCGGCAAAGAGTCGCATTACATTACGCATACGTCACGTGTTGCACACGCATCAATGCCACCCACAGATTGGCACCAACAAAAGGCCACGCACTTGTGATCCATGGGGCTACAGTGGCGCCTGCATAAAGTGTCCGACGAAAGCAGGCACTACTGTGCCTGGATACTGTGGCTGGGTGGGTGGTGCGGTCAAGCCGCACTGTAACTGCAGCGTGAGAGCGAGAGAGAGGGAAACGGGGTGGAATGAGAGCGAGATAGCTTTGGAAATTTTTCTAGATTTTTGTCAAAGTGATTTGTATCTGTATCTGTATCTGTATCTGTATCTGTATCTGTATCTGTGTTTCTGTGAGTGTATGCCAAATGCAAGCGTCGCTTGTCGTTCAACGTGCCCTCTACTGTCGCTCGCTCTCTCTCCCTCGCTGTTTGTTCTCCCTCTCTTTAAATTAATTTTAAGGGTGTATGGGTGGCCGGTGTGTTCGCAACACGTGCTTAGAACTTTGCTAGACAGTGGGCTTTGGGTCATATTGAAATCCGCGTGACTTTGCTGCTGTCCTCAGCTCTCGAGCTCTCGGCTGCTCGGCACTGGGTCTCTCGCAGTCGCAGTCGAAGTCGCAGCTGCTGCTGCTTCTGTCGCTGTCGCTGTCACTGCTGTTGGCTGCTCTGCCAGCGCTGATTAATATATGAATATTTGTTGTTTGTATTCTTAATATATATACATACATATGTACTTCTATATACAAATATTTTTGTTTGATGAAACTGAGAAAACAATTATCGGAGAGCGGGTAGGAATGTATGTAGTGGGCTTCGGTTTTGGTGGACCTCCTCCGCCCTTTACGTAAGCCTCTGACTTAGTTGCAGAAAATTGCACTGAGAGCAGCCCTCTGCTGGCTGTGGCAGTGGCTGAAGCAGCGACTGCAGCTGAGGCAGAGGCAGAGACCCGTAGAATCGGAGACCGGAGACCCTGTCTATTGGATCGGCGGCCGGCATTCGGTCGTATCGCGTTCTCATGTGAAAATCATTGTCGCCGGTTGCTCCGTGCTCCTCCTCTTTGAGCGTGAATCAAACAAAATCGAAACAAATCGATCAATTGTTTATAACATTTAAGGGAAAACGCAACCAAAACTAAATGAATCTAAATTGATTTCGCCATAGGGAAAGAAATGTTCTAGAAAGAAGTTCCACCAAATGGAAAATAAATCTATTTCCTATATGTGCAAATAATAATAATAATCATTTTCAAGTGCAACAATTGTGAAATCCAACCAAAGTGTGTGCGTGTGTGTGCAATAACAAAACTATAAAAAGAGAGAGAAAGAGAGAGAGAGCGAGCGAACGAGAGAGTGCTCTTATCAATGAGCGCAACGAATGATCTCTTTTTGCATCCAGCGGCATCAAAGTTACGGATCCAATTTCCAAAATGTTTTAATTTTATTTTTTTTGTCTAATTTCTAATACAACAAACAAAACAAAAACAACAACAACAAAACAAAACCCCAGAAAACAATCGACAAACAACAGAAAACAAGAAAATATATCTTATTTGTTATGCAGCAGCAGAAATAAGAGAATAAGAAAAGGTATTACCCACGAAAAAGGCTGAACGGAATAGCAGTAAAAGAGAGTGTTATGTTTCAATTGATTTGGCACATAATAATTTATTTTTTGTATTGATTTTTTAAGTTGATTAAATCCAGACTCCGAAAAGAAAAGATTACAGAACAAGAAAATGTCAAATGGAAAAGCTTTTGCCGTAATTGAAGGCCATTCCAAGTTGTTGTATAAAATGCAGTATTATTATTGATTGAATTGATTGAAAGCGGGAAAGCAAAAGCAAATGCAATAGCAAAATATCGCACAGAAATGCCTTTTCTTATTCCTTATGGTCATACGATCATCAATCTCTATATAGAACAAAAATCAAAGTGCATTCCATTATCACACAACAGCAAGCCACAAACAACAGTCGCAATCATTCACAATCAGACCTTATCGAAGCACCGATCGACAATCGATCGACAATCGCCACTGAAGCATCACCCCCAACATTTGGTATACCTCATGATCATCATCGCCGACAATTGGCTAAGCAGAGAAAACACAGATCTTATTCTGTTGGGGAAATGAATCTAATTTGAGTTTTCAAAATGAAAGCACACTATTTTCAGAGTGTTTCCTACGACAAATAAACGAACACTAAAACTAAAACTAAAAACCTAGCGAAAGTCCAGTGAACAAAGACCAGTGTTGGCTAACAATGCGCACAAGGTTCATATTGCTGAGCAGCAGATACAATCACGTCCAATACAAGGAGGTGATCACCTAAGCTCACAGCCAGAGGCTCTAACAAACCAAAACCAGTGAAAAGTCCCAGCTAAAGAATCTGATAAACCACACAACCCAGTGATCAGTAATCAGTGATCAGTAATCAGTAATCAGTGATCAGTAATCAGTGATCAGTAATCAGTGATCAGTAATCATGTCGTCGGATACGAATTCGTGCGCAAGCTTCTTTGCCCAGGAGCATGCGAATGCCACACTGTCGCAGTACTTCCAGCAGCTCAACTCTCAGGTGGCTGCCGCTGCAGCAGTGGCAAGTGGCGGGGGCTCCAACAATAACAGCAGCAGTAGCAGCAGCGGCAACAGCAGCGGCAACAACAGCAGCGGCAACAGCGACAGTGGCAATGATGGCAGCCTCACGGGTTCCACGGGCACCCTGGATAATCATCGCAGCAGCGTCAGCAGCAATGATTCGGGCAAGAGCAGTGCAGGAGGCGGCGGCGGCGGCGGCGGCGCCAGTGGCAACAGCAGTGGCGTAAACGCCTGGGCCATGCAGCAGCAGCAACAGACGGCAGCCTTGCACCATCACCAACAGCAACAACAACAGCAACAGCAGCAGCAGCAACATTTGCAACAGCAGCAGCAGCAGGCGCATGCACACCAGCAACATGCTGCAGCTGTGGCTGCCGCGCAGATCCAGCAGCAACAACACACACATCACGCTCAACAGCATGCCGTCGCACAGCAGCAGCAGCAGCACCATCCCCATGGACCGCCCCATGGCCACCCAGCACACCCCCACGCCCACTCGCACCCGCACCACAGCCACCCGCAACAGCAGCAGCAGCAACACCACCATCACCAGCAGCAGCAGCAACATGCCATACAGCAGCAACAACATGCCGCCCAACTGGCCCACAACCTCACCTCCGCAGCGGCAGCCCCCTCCCCCAACAACAACAACAACAACAGCGGAAGTGGCAGTGGAAGCACCCACTCAATTTTTGGCACCGGAAATTTTCACTACAAGAGCAACAACTCCTGGACACTGCCGACGCTCACGTACCAGAGGATCTACCAGGATAATCCGCACTACCAGCGGAACGCCTTCATGGATCCCCAGGGAAATGCAGCTGCAGCAGCGGCAGTAGTGGCTGCCGGCTGCAATGTGGCAGCTGTGGCAGCGGCCGCGGCTGCAAATGTTGCCAGTGGCGGCCAGGGTGGCGGCAATGCCAGCTCAAACAGCTCCAGCAACAATCCAGCAGCGGGTGCCAATCCCAACAGCAATGGCGGTGGGAATCCCAGTCAAAATAGTGCCAGCAGCAACAATAATAACAGCAACAACAACAGCACCTCTGTGGAGCATGTGGCAAATGCAGTGGCAGCGGCAGTGATCGTCAACGAGCATCAGAATCATTTGAACAGCCTCAAGGCGAGATTTCAGCCATCTAGCTCAGGTGAGAGGGGGGATTGATGATTGGGAAGCTATCATAAAAATGGCAAATGGAAAGAAAGTCGGTGAGAAATGCGTCCTCGTTCAATGGGACAATGTGGATGTGTTTTAGGTCAAAGAGAGACCTGCAAAACTGATGAAATTTGTATACAAGTTCAAGTTGTAGCCTGATTCCCTTAATTTAAATTCTCCAACTGCTCAAAATATACGAAATATTTCAGTTTCTTTTGCAAAACTTTCCATTGCGTGAGATCCCTAGAATTCCACTCGCTCTACAATGTAGATGTTGCTCTCCACACTCTGTCTCTGTGTGTGTCTCTATATGTAACCCATTGCCGCCATCCCTTTCATTCCAATAGCTGATATCATCGGACGTCAGCGGCGTAGAACTTTGCGCATTTCCAGCTCAAAGTCAAGAAAGCTTGCGGCGCACACGTGAGTGGACTGACGTCGTCTAAATCGAATGCGAAACGGAATACAAATACAGAATACAGAATACAGATACCTGCATACATGTAACTGCGACTGTCACTGCAGATATATGTGTATCTGTATCTTTGGAATTCTATTCAAGCATTTGTCAGTTCTAATGTCTGCCTTTTTGTCTTATTGCCTTTTTGTCTTTTTGCCCTACCGCAATGAGAATTTCATTACCTTCAACTCAAAGACTTTTTCGTATTTTCGTGTGTGATAAGACTTTTAGGCGACCTATGCCAAACTGCGTTGCAATTCAATTTATTATCAGTCTCTTTCTATTCCGCCCATTTCTCTCTCTATCTCTCTCTCTCTGTCTCTCTCTCTCTCTGTCTCTCTCTCTCTCTGTCTCTCTCTATCTGTCTGTTTTTTTTTTGCATCGTAAGTCATTACATTTTATGGCTGGCAATTAGTGCTAGAAAATTATTTGATATTCCATTAAATTAACCATTTAATGAGAATTATATGGCATGTATGTACACCTGACATTTGAAACGGTCTCTGCCCCAAAAGAGCTCTCTTATTTATTTGGTTCCTTTTCCTGGCCCTTTCAGCGCTTTTGATCTACTTTGTCAATGCATTTGGCACAAATTTTGGTGCTCTTTTTTTTTTTTTTTCTTACTTTCCCCTTTGAAAAGCGCGACTAGGCTACCACCATGCACATCCGTTTCCCTTTTTGTTTCCTTTCACGCTGAGGTCAGTTGGATGATGATGCATTTGGTTTGATTAGATTTCGGAATTAGGCTGATGAGATTTTTTGATGGCAAGTGATGGAACTGTGATGGAAATATGCATAAACCAAATGAATGGCAAATGGGTGGGTGGACTGCACCTACTGTACCCCAGACTTCTGTGTGCCCACCTCCCATTCTATTCATCATTTGAGCTGTGAAATTTCGCTATATTGAATCCACTGGAAATGACCTTTTAAAGGCAGAATGAATAATAATTTGTATGGGCATATTCGTGTGGGCTACGATTGTGGGGGGAAAGCTGTGAGTAAAATGGATAAATGACAGTTTTTGCGGCCTGTGGGTGGGTGGGCCCCCCCATGCACGGAAATAATGTATATATCTGCCAGCCTTGGCTGGCACAATCATTATCATTATTCTATTAATTTACTAATGATTCCTCAAATAAAATTTCTAACATTTTCTATGCTTTCATTTATTTCCAGGTAAGCTTCAATCGACTCTACAAATCTGGAATGGCTCTTGCCTTTTTGTGAATTTTTAAACGTTTTGTTTCTATTTGCCTGGGTAAGCTTTTCATATTCGTATTCGCATCATCCATCGAGGGGGAGAAAATGTGGGTGGGCTCTCGAGCTTGGAAAAAGCACTCACTCACACTCACTCGCACCGAACGCAGCGAAAGCTTTTCGGGCGGCTCAATTCACTCAAAACAAAGCTGCTGCTGGCGTTGACGCTGACGCTTACGCTGGCTTTGGCTTTGCTGCCTGGCCTGCGAGTGTGGAAAATCTACGCTTCCGCATTTGGTGCAGCGGCAGCGCAGCTCACACGAAGCGTGGCGAGCGCACGAAGGCAGATGGAAAGAGATGGAAGGCAGGTCCGAACTTTGGCAGGCTGCGCGAAAGAAAGTAAACAGGCGGAGAATGCGCAAAAAGGCGACAGAGGGAGAGAGCGTGAGAGAGCGGCAGCAGAGCTGCGACTGCGGCTTTAATGCTTTTGGTTTCAAGTTTGGCTTTGACGCTGGCTGCGCAGTCGCGACATTTCGGCTGCTGCCGCTGCTCTTTTCTTCTGTAAGGGGCAGCACCCGCTGCGGCGGTGAGTGGAGGGCATGGGGGGGGTCCCCATACCCACCATCGAAGCTGCGTTGCATGAGGCTGGCCTGGCGACGCCGCGCGCGTTCACTCAGCGTTCGCAGTCCGGCGGCACCGGTTCGTTTCTCGGTCTCTACGGCGCTACGACACTCAAAACCGAACACCAAAAAACCCAAAAAACGGAAGACCACCAACCCGCAATCGTACCGTACCCTGTACCCCGTAACCCCCCCGCACAGCACACTCACTCTCTGCACACAGATGCAAACGAGCCGAAAAGCCCATGAAATACAACAGAAATATACGACGCGTGTCTTCGTCTTTAGCACGGCCTTAGCTTTCGAATTCGAACCCGAAATCGTGCGAACCTGTGAACTTTCGTTTGCCCCCCCCCAAAACACCCACCCATTCGCAGTCCATTCCACCCGAAAGGAGATCCTCCTCCGCCTGGATTACAATGTATTTGTAGTGCAGTGTAAAAGTGAAGTATATGTATGTTCTTCCAAAGAAAAAAAAGAGCAGTTGAAGATCCTTCAAGTGAAATTTATAGAAGGGCAAAAGTTGGAAAATATATCTGAAAAAAGCAAAGATAGAAATTGTATCTTCAATCAAAAGTGAGAGAGCATACATCCAAGTGCCTTATGAGATGCGAAATATATGTACATATACTGTCATAAAAGAAATAAAAAAAAAAAAAATAAAAAAATTAAGGAATATATCACATTCAATATGTATTTTCATAGACTCGCAAACAAGCAGAGGGATTCATAAAAAAAAATCGAGCAACTATCCCCAACAAAAACCACAGCTACAACAACCACAGAAACCAGAACAAGTGCGACGACAATCCAAAAAATAAAAAAAACAAAAAAAAAAACACAAACAAACTAAAAACGCATAGTACAGAAAGAGTATATAGTATTGCTTAGGTTTTCGCTATTACTGTTGCTTTTGTTGCTGCCAAATTCAAGGTCAAACTTTTCTCATCGGCAGCGAGAACCGAACCGAACCCCAGTCCCCAGACCCCAGACAGAAGCAACAACAACAACAAAAGCAATAGCAGCAGCAACGATAACTATGAGTACGCGGAATAGTTGACAACGAAATACAGCAAAAGAGGAGGGCAGGAGAGTAATAATAGAAAAAAAAAGCAAACAAAACAAACAATAGAAGAATTGCGAATGCAAAAAAATAAAACAACAGCAGAGAGCGAAGAAAAACATTTAGTTTGCAAAAAAGCGCTGAGAACTTTATGCCTGTGTGTGACTGGTGTGTGTGTGTGGTGAGAGAGCTTTGAGGGCGCTCAAAAGCTGCTGTGATCGGTTGGGTTTGTGCATTGTTGTAGCTGTGGTTTAAGTGCGGTGATCGTCGCAGAAGAACTGGAAGCGGGGGCGAGCAAGAAGATATACAGCGAGCGCGTGCGTTAAAAAGCTCTGTTAAAATTATAACTTTATTTAATTAATAGCAGGCGCAGCGGCAGCAAAACAACAATGCTTAGGCCTCTGAGAAATTAAAAATAAAAAAAAATATAGTATATTTCGATTAAATTAAATTAAAAAAAAAAACAAATCAAGCTAATTGTGATCTCAGCTATGAGAATGGACTATCAAATGCCCCCGCCAGCATTGGCCCTGCAACAGCAACAACAGCAACATGGCCTGCAACATCAACAGAATCAGCTGCAGTTGTTGCAACAACAACAGCAGCAACAGCAACAACAACAGCAGCAACACCAGCAACAACAGTTGCTGGGCAACATGTCGCAGACGGCGGCCTTGCCACCGCTGAGTAGCCTGCCCCTGCAAGTGGTGCACAATCTGCCGCATTTGCTGGCTGGCAGCACAAGCAACAACCCCAACAGCAACAACAACAACAGTAATGTGAGCAATAATACGGCAAATAACAATCAGAATCTCAACAATGTATGCAACAACAATCTGCTACGCACCAGCATGCAACACCAACAGCAGCAGCAACAGCAGCAGCAGCAACAACAACAGCAGCAACTGCTCAACAATCTCACCAACGGGAGCAATGTTGCCAATGGAGTAACACTGCCACCGCCCACACAATTGTTGCAGCATCATCTGCAGCATTTGGCGCATGTGAATGTGAATACGGCAGCGGCTGTTGTGGCAGTGGCGGCCAACAATCTGCAGCATGCCACCAACAGCAACAATAATAACAACAGTAGTGCAAACAACAACAACAACACACCATTCTCAACCATAACAATCTCAATATTATAATCAACAATCATGCCTCCCTCAACAACAACAACAACAACAATAATAACAATAGCAACAACAACAACAACAATCCAGCAACGCCAAATGCAAATCTCACCACAGCCACGCCCATTGCGAACACCGCCTCAACGGTGGCACAGCAACAGCAGGCGCATGAGAATAGTTTGGTCAACAGTTTAGTGGGTGTGATTAACAACAACAACAACAACAATAGTAACACTACCAACAACAACAACAACAACACCAACAGTAACAGCAACAGCAATGCGGGTGGAGGAGGTGGTGCCAACGCCGACGACAACAATCGCTGGACACAATTCCAGGTGCAACAATTGTGGAAGCAACACGCCAACTATTTAAATGGTATGGACAAACAATTTATTGCAAAAGCCACACAACATGGGGCACGTGCCAGAGCCACACATGGGGCATGTGCAACCTATAAAGATTCCAAATTATAAAGAAATTTCCACTTTAGAAGGCACAAAAAACCCTCAGAAATGTTCTTCTTTCGAAATACAACATATTTTAAGGCGTTTTCTTGTACCCTAATTAAGAATTTGCATTAGGAAGAGAAAACTTGGTTAACTGTGCACCTCCCGCGCCTGTGCTTGACTGTGGCAGTTCTCGACCTTCAGTTAATTTCCTTTTCAGCACCCCCAAAAGGCAATAGCAGCCCAAAAGCCCACCCAACGATCCAACGACCCTGATGTAGTGTGCGCGTCGGCTTACATCGATTCGCGTCAACGCCACGAAGGGGCACATGCTTGCAGCTGCAGTTGCAGCACCGATACGCTACCCCTTCTTTATATTTTGGGGCTCTGACTAATTGAGGAGACAGGAGGCTTATGACAGGCAGGAGGGGTGGCGGTGGCGGTGCCTGCTACTCTATGGGTTCAGTGTCGAGTGTGCGCTGACATTTCCGCGTGGGGTAGGTTCATCCCCCCCACCCACCACCACGACTCGAGCAGTGTCTAAACTTTCAAACCTTTCGGACTCTGGCATTTCACAATCACTTTTGCTTTCAACTTCAACTCCACACTGGAGGGAGGCAAGGGCAGCCGGCCATGCGGCCACCTCCGGCAACAAGTTGTTCAGAGCGCGACATTTCCAGACAACTTTCGTTTCTGACTTTTCGGGTGCTTTCCATATAGATACTGTCCATGTATAAATATTCCAAGTGACTTTTGTTTTTATTATAATGTATTTAAGAGCCGACCGCCCGGCCTTTCTGTATTTGGCCTTTTGTTGTTGCTGTTACTGTTGCCAACAGCCAAAGTTGATCTGCCAAAAAAAAAAAAAAGAGAGACACCCAACAAAAGGGCAATTTTTTGTGTCTCTTCTGCGCTGTTATTTAAGTTTCTGCTGTTTCTGTGTGACATTGCGGTGGCATAATTTCTAAGTGTTCAGACGGACAATATCAAAACTCATAAAGAGCTGCTGTTGCTGCTGCTGCTGCCTCTTTAGCTGCCGAAAAATGCGTCAAGTTTTTACTTTCATTGGAGGCACAACCGATGCCTGACTCCACCAGCAACAGCTCTGCTGCCGCTCTGCCGGCTTAGCAACAACACCAAACAAATTAACTTTCACTTTTTCGGCAGTTTTTAAATTCATTTCTTTCTTTCCCTTTTTTTTTTTTTTTTTTTGGTAGTTTTTTGTTGACTTTGTTGGCTCTTCTTTTTGAAATAAAACAGAGACAAAAAGTCAGACGGAAAGACGGCTGGAGAGAGAAGAAATGCTGAAGGGTTCCAAAAGAGTGGGAAATAAATATATAATTTTATCTTAATCAAAAATGTACAATTTGGAAAGTTGCCAAAAATCCAAGTAGGAAAAGACATACAAAAATGTGCAGATTAATGGGAGTTGCTAAAAGGTATTATGGATTTTTTTATATCTTACCCGCCAAACATTATTTGCATTTCCCTGACCTTCCAGAGCAGAGTCGTCTTTTTTTTTTCCTATCAATCAGAGTATTCCCCCCGCATTCTGTCATTTTGCCATTCGACTCGTATGCCCGGCCCGTGCTCGATGTTCGGGTTACTGCCATCATAATCTGGCCATTCATGACTTCCTTTTGTTTGAGCTATCGGCGAAGGGGAGAAGGCCTCTGTGTTGCATTGGAGGCACAACGCGGAGACATGTCAAAAGGCGGATGGGGGCAAGAGGCGTTACCGTCACACACTCACCCAGATAGGGGGCCTGCCAAAATGCAACGTATTACAGTTATTTCAATCAAAGCCAAGCACTCGCTTTGTCTTTGGCGCTGGCTACTCGTCTTGGCCAAACGAGCACAAGCGCAAGATTACTGCTGCTGCCAATTTTCGTCGCTATGACACTACTCTCATGCACACGAAGGCGAGTCTCTGGTCGCTGGTAGCGCGTTGCGCGTTGCGGGTTGCGCAATCGCGGCTAGCAGTCAGGCAACGGAGGCATTGGTAAAACGTGCGAATTGCTTTGCTGCCTGCCCCAAGTGAGAAACTTGAATCAGTGAAAGTGTGGCGCGAAGAGAGCTTTTGGCTTTGCTGGCCGCCGCTGCGAACCACGAGGCGTATGCGCGATCTGTTTCACACGTCGTCGCAAAGAGTAAGAAAAGACCAGAAGCACTTTGATTGAATAAACCGTGTTTTGATTACGTTTTTACGGGTAACCACGCCCCTACACCTCGGTGTAGAGCCTCTCCTGGCAGCTCTGGCAGCGGCAGCGTGCTCTGAATATTTGAAACGATTTTTTATTTAGGTTGCGATGTCTCTGGTCTCTAGTCTGTGGTACGTTCGTTCGTTCGTGTTACAGCTTTTTGGCCCGAGTCTATAATTTTATAGAGCCAACACGATACCGTATGATTATCGGTTTTGCTTCCTTATTTTTTTTTTCTTTTTGCTAATTAACTGCTCTGCTCCAGCAGCGGCTTTCTTTCAAACAGCCACAGAAATTGGGCTAATGGGTTGAATGAAAAAGGCACTACATACATATGTGTGAATTTTCATTTTCACTTTCGCTGCGGACAGTTTTTCCATGGCTCGAGAGTGAGCGAGTGAGTGTGTTGGCCAATTAAACTATTGCAAAATATTTCGCTGGCTTGGCATAATTTTCTATCAATTTCATAATCACACAGAAAGCGGTGTCTGCCTGCCGTTAGGGAAATTGTTATTATGGCAAGAGGGAAGAAGAGAAAGAGAATGAAATTATAGAGATTGACAAAACGAAATTGAGGAAAAGCTTCCATATTTTCAGGATTACTTGGGAGTTTGCTAAGACGCCTTTGGTGGCTTGTATGGAAATACGTAAAATGCGATAGTGAAATTATAGCTGGAATATCCTGGCATCTGATCAGATTATCATTAAAACTTGTTCCCCATGGACTTTGAATAATGGTAGCAGAAAATGATGACCCGTTGGGCAATAGCTATGGAAAATAGGAAGAAATTCTCTAGCTGGAAATGTACGAAGATTATCTAGAATTCTCAATTAATTTCAATTATTTATTTTCACTTTCCATTTTTTGTTGAGCAATTCCTCTCTTGAATCTACTCCATAATTCAGACAGCGCTGCCTACTCTACTAAAGTCACAAATTTTCTATGCTAACAACCCGGAAATACAAGTGGCCCTCACATTTTCCCACACATAATTAATTTTCACGTAAAATAAAAAATGCGGTTGAAGGCATAAAACAAGCAGGCAACAAACAGCAACCAAAAAAAGGCAAAGAGGCAGAATAAATGAACAACAACAAAAAATCGCAATGCAAATGAGCGCGAATGCGGAATGAATGCAATGCAAACACAAGAGACAGCGCAACAATCGAAAGTGTTACACTTTCTGCACTTCGCCAACAACAACAACAACAGCAACGACAACAACATAACAGCAATCACTACAACAATGGCAACAACAACAAACCATAAAATACAACAAAAAAGCAAAAAAAAAACGAGTGCGAGGCGATGTACAATCGCACACACAACGATGTAATACAACGAAGCACTGAAGCGACAAAATAAAAGCAACAACAAAACAACTCTCGTCACAGTTGCGCCATCGACAGCGGCGCTGGCAGCGACAGCAACGCATGCGCAGAGATTCAGAGTCAAAGCAGAGCCGCAAAACAAAGAGAGAAAGAGTGCGCACGACAGACAGGTGAAAGGGGCGGACAACACGAGACAGCACGGTTCGGAAGCGGTTCGACCGCATGGGCTTGTTATACTCTTACCATTTGGCAAGGGTGTACGGATTATACGCAAAGGTTTGGCAAGAAGACTTTCCACAAAGATCTGTTGCAGCTAGCTTGACTTGTAAGGGTATCAAAAGCTTCGATCTTGGAAATTCCACATAGACTTTCTTTACATTCCTTCTTTACTTGCTCTTTTTCTGCTGTCTGTTGTTGTTGTTGTACGTGCAAAAAGCATGTTGCATAATTTGTGGCTATTTGTTTCTTCTAATTCTCCTTTTCCACTCAATGGCAGAGTACAAAGCACTCTGCTTCTTCTGGAAGTTGTATTGGAGCTTTCGCGTGGAATAAATTGTCATAAATCGAGTTCTATATTTGGTTCAATGTCGCTTCTCTTCTCTCATGTTTTTTGTTCTATATTTCTCACTCGAAGAACTCGATTAGGTTATGGCTATCATGGGTTTTGCGTATTTCAAACTGGTTTCTGAACGAATGTTATTTTGGGGTACATTTTTTGGGGGGCTCAAGACTTAAGACTCGTTTTTGTTTGGGGTTTTTCGCTGTGAGCACTCTCACTTTCATTTCGTTGTGGGAAGGGTAGGGGTGGCGAAGGAGATCAAGAGCCGGAGGGGCAGGTGGATGTCAGACAGGCAGAGACGGATGTGATATGGCATTCAAAATTTAATTGGTTTTCTGAACACTCGAGCTAAGAGAAATGGAGTAAGGAAACGCTTTAGGAGGAATATAAATACTATCCAAAATAAAAATTCCCAATATACAATGCAGAAATGAATCATTTAGCCAACAATCCAAATTCAACTAACTCACTAAAAACAACACGAACCAAATTTACGCAGCTTCATACTAAAAACCCCAAAAAATGTCCGAAACAAAAAAAAAGTGAAAGTTTAATTCCACCAAAAAGACAACCTGCGGACCGCTGCGGTCCACTAAAAATTGTGGCCAGCCATTAACAAAACAAAGGCCAGAAATCCAACATCCAACAATTTACAGAAATATAATAAATGCCACTATAATAATCATAGTATTATGATTATAATGACCAAAAAGAGGAACTTCAGAGAGCGCGCGCGAGAGAGAGAGAGAAAGAGCGATCGTTTGTGTGCGTGCGAGCGTTTCACTAGAGAAACAAGAAATATGTTGTCGTAGGCCCATGGCTCTGTCTCTATCTATCTTCTATTTCTGATAGTTGTCCCTCTCCCTTTCTAATGAAAGTGAAATAGCGACCAAAGAGTCACGAAAATAATGCAAATTATTTTAATTACCAAAAATGAGAAATTTCGTTAGGTCCAACAAAGAAGCAATACAAGAGAAAAAAAACCCATCAACCAGAAAAGGCAAAATAAAATTAAAACTAAAACTGGAAAAAAAAGAGGAAGGTGCGAGGGCTCCCAGAGCAGAGATGACACAGAAACAAAAAATCGCTTGACCCACTTAAAATGGCAAGAGAAACCGAAACCGAAACCGAGACTGAAACAGAAACAGAAACGTCGAAAAAAGAAGAGGAGGATTCCTGTTTTGGGTTTTGCTTCTAAAAATAAACCATCGATGGGATTCCTGCTCGAGACACAAATCAACGAATGTTGATGACAGTGAAAGTGAACCAACAAAAGAGACATAAATTGAGATGGAATAAGAAAAAAAAAAAAGTAAAAGTATCTGTGGCATGCACACACAGGAAAGGTATGGGCTATAAGATGGGGTAAACTCATTTGCATGTCCTTCTTGAATGTGTTGCTGCGATCAGCTCTTCTTCTTAGCCCAATTTTGTGGGGGTAAAGAGAAGAAGTATCTCACCTAGAGAGGGTTCTTGAAATTTTATTTTTAATTGGTGGGATCTTCCTTTCAAAATTCATCTGCTGCTCTTTTACCAATATCACCTTCTGCATCTTTGGTTTGAATGCGAATCTTTATGTCTGTTTTTTTTTTTCTATCTACAATCGTCTGCTAAAGTATATGTTTGTGCTTTTGTTTTATGTTTTCTATTTCTTGAAAGTATCAATATTGTATCTCTTTTCTACTATCTTTCTTTTCTTTCTCCTTTTCTACTGTTTTACAGGCAGGAAATCTCCATTTTTGGGTTTTATTTGCAAAGCAAACGGTAATTTGGTTTTGTTTTTTGTGTTCTTTTTTTTATCGTATTTTATGATATTTTATTTCGTTGTCTTTGACTTAAATTTTATTATATAGCTTTTTGCTTTATTGAAAGTTTTTCTAGTTTTTGTTTTTGTTTGGATTGACTTTTCTGTGCTTTTGTTTTATATTCTTTTTTTTTAAATTTTTTGTGCATGATTTGAGGCAAAGTTGTTTTATCATTTACTTCTCTTTGATCATCGAAATTTTAAGTCAGAAATGTATTTTGTTAGATGCAAAGTTATTAGATTAAGTGCTGCTATAATGGTTAGATATTTTCTAGTCAACAAGCCTCTTGTTTTCATTAGATTTCATTACAAATGTCACCAAATTTTTAAGCATTCCCAACTCCTTGCTTCCCATCAAACCACTTCAAACTTTCATTCAATCCAAGTATTTCTCTAATAAACCCCCATTCCCACTCCTTAAACAGCCTCGTCTAACCTTTAGCTCCTTTTGCTCACACACAACTTTCATTGAAAAACTTTGTCCTCCGCCGAAAATCCCATCCAAGTCCATATCGAACATCATGTACAGACCGGGACAACAACAGAAAAAAAGTGTCTAATTAAAAGGGCAAAGACTGGCACCAGCAAAAAAAAAAAAACGGTACCCATACGCTTCGTGGGCTGCCTGCCTGCCTGCTTGGTCATTGCATTTGCAGATTTGCAAGTCCTAATTTTCTCCAAAACGGCAGATATTACTTCACACACACAGACAACCGCAAGCACCCACAGAGATACACAGATACACTTGAGCTTTTCACTTACGCTTTGGTGAGCACATCGAACAGAAAAAAAAAAGATATTACTTCATTGCACAGACCAGAAATGTGTTTGAAGAAGCAATGGATGGATGGATGGTAGCGGCAGCAGAGAGAAGAAACAAGGCAAGCCACAAAATGGCATAAAATTTCGCAATAGTCGGTAATGCAAAAAGCGGCAAAAGCAAAAGCAACAACTGTAAAAAAGCATTCGCAAATGAAAGTGAGAGTGAATAAGAAAGCGGAAACTATTGCGAGCCGATACCAAAGACGGCAACTGGTTTCTGTTACTGTCTGTGGCCAGAAAACTCGTTTCTTACCACTCTGCTCCTCTGCCAACTCTGAAAGAAATCAAAGAAAAGGGGCTAAGGGGCTGCAGAGCGGCAGAGAGAGAGAGAGAGAGAGAGATCATGCTCTGCTGCGCATGCTCAGCGTCTAGGCAGACGCTAGAGCTTCAGGCAGCATCAGCAGCAGCAGCGCGTTCAGAGAGTGCTTTCTATGAGCGGGCAAGTGACTGATTGACGTGACAGAGCGGGCAGAGGAGCAGAGAAGCAGAGCTTAAGCATAAGTCTTATCTGCTGCTGCTGCTGCCTCTGCCTCTGTTTCTGCGCAGCCTTGGCAGCAACAGCAGCAGAGCGCTTACAACATTAAACGCCTGCCTGTGTCTGCCGCTGCGTCCGCTTCTGCGCGACGCTGAGAGCTTTTTGGATTTTGTAGCTCTTTCTTTTCTTTCCGTTGAGTGAGTTTTTTTTTGGTTTTTTTGTTATTGGTGGTGGCTCGTAGCAGTGCGATAAAAATCAGTTTGAAAGCAGCTGAAAAAGTTTCACTTTCGCTTTTTGTTGTATATTAGTCTGCTGCTTCCTCTTCAGCGGCCTCCTGTCTCTTCTGTCTCTGTCTCTTTCTCTTTGTTTTGTGTGTGTGTGTTTGTGTGTGTTTGATTTGTTAGCTTGTTGGTTTTATTGTGTTTTGTTTTGTGTGCGCCTGTGTGTTTGTTTGCCTGTAACCCGTTTTTATGGACGCTGCATGCGGAAATTTGCGGAAATAATTTTAGGAAAATGTTGTTCCCAGGCTTTTGCTGTTGAAGAGCTGATGAAAATGTGTCCAAAAGAACGTAAATGGTTTATATAATGGAGAGGATGGCGACAGCTTGACCCACTTTATAAATTAAACACTTATCGGGGGACACTTATACGAGTCCAATCGAAATCTTATCAGTCGTACTTGTATGGCTTTAACTAATCAATGTACTTTATGTTTTACTCTGTTTTTTTTTTTTTTTTACAGGCAAATCCACATCGAATAGCAAAGAAATCATCTGTCCAGATGACAAGTACAAGGAGGAGGGCGACATCTGGAATGTCGAGGCACAGACGGCGTTTCTTGGCCCAAACCTTTGGGACAAGACACTGCCCTACGATGCCGACCTCAAGGTAACACAAGTTAGTATCATTCTTCATCGCTGCGTAGTGGCTGCGTCTCTCTTTCAATACTTTTTCGTACAATGTCTCGACAATCAAACAATCAATACATATGTACATCGTATCATCAAGCACACACACACACACACACACATCCACTCACAAGTACAGTCATGACAAAACACACAGCGAAACAGTTAACTTGAATGTTATCGATTGCTTACTTAGTGCGAGACTTATGTTCTCATCATCAGAGCTCAATGATTGTGTGACTAATCCTCCAATCGATCCACCCGATCCACCTTGGATCTTGGTTTTTATATGTTGTTTTTCATTGCTTTCCCCGTTTTTCCCATCCAAACGTTTTGTAGTACGCCGACTTAGATGAATTCCTGTCGGAGAACAACATACCTGATGGCTTGCCCGGCACCCATTTGGGACACTCAAGTGGTCTGGGCCACCGTTCCGATTCGTTGGGTCATGCAGCGGGCCTGTCGCTCGGCCTGGGCCACATAACCACAAAGCGGGAACGGTCGCCATCGCCATCCGATTGCATTAGTCCCGACACGCTAAATCCGCCATCGCCGGCCGAGTCAAGTAAGTAAAAGTGGAAGTGATGGAAACCAGAGCTATCGAGCTATCAAACTATCGATATGTTAATTGAGAAATCATAAAATCGAAAAAAATAATCAAAAATAATATAAAAAAAAACACAATAAAAGAGCGTTATCGCGTGTTATCGGTATCGATTTGGCAATCGGTAATGCAATCGAAGTCGTACATTATCGGTATCGGTATTTAAATCGCAATTTAACAAATTTCTGGATATCCAAATCGAATGTTATCAAAAGCTTCCTAATCAATATTGTGATTGAATTTTGAGACTGAGACTGTAATCGAGAATTGCTTTCGTTATTTGTAAATCTGCTTGATATTGTTGTTAATTTTAAACATGTTTAAACACAAATGGAATGGACATTGCCTCTTAACTTAAATTATAATTGAAAACCGTATAAGTAAATTTTAATTTAAGTTACCCAAAAAAAAAAAAAAAATGTCTTATCAAATGCTAAATGTTAAATATAGAGATACAGAAACCGAGAGAGATCGATCTGTCGTCTCTCAATGATTCACTCAATGATTCCCATTCCAATTTGTGCAAAAATGTTAAACAAAAAAAAAGAAAAGAAGTAAATTTTTTCGATTAAATTTTTCTGTTGGTTAATTTTGAGGTTGATTTTTATGATTTTCATTTAGCACGAACAGTCTGTGAAACATTGTTAACATTTAGTATTTGATATTCCAGCATTTTCGTTTGCATCATCGGGCCGTGACTTCGATCCGCGCACCCGAGCCTTCTCCGACGAGGAGCTCAAGCCCCAGCCGATGATCAAAAAGTCACGCAAACAATTCGTTCCAGATGAGCTCAAGGACGATAAGTACTGGGCCCGTCGGCGAAAGAACAACATTGCGGCGAAGCGATCCCGCGATGCCCGGCGCCAGAAGGAGAATCAAATTGCGATGCGAGCACGCTATTTGGAGAAGGAAGTAAGTATTCCCCAACCGCACCAACCATCCCCCAAAACCATTTAACGGATCCATCATCTAAATATGTGTTATCCCTCAACAGAATGCAACATTACATCAGGAGGTGGAACAGTTGAAACAGGAGAACATGGACTTGCGTGCACGTCTATCGAAATTCCAAGATGTGTAATGATAAATACAATTTTGTGACTTGGCCTGAGGACACCACAACAATTAAATAATGATAATTGATAATTGATAAATGATTAATGATAATTGATAAAATAACAATAATCATACGCGTAATTATGATAAAACCACTACTAATAATGTTTAGTAAAAGCAGACATGAAACCTACATTAAATATAATATACATACGTATATGCATAAATAATTATATGTATACAAAAATATATATAGTTTAGTAAGCAAACACACATACACAACCCTCAGACACACACACACACACAATTACCTAGAGAGCAGCGGAAAGCTCCGCTTAAAAATATTTATTTTATGCTAAACAGAAACAATTTAAAGCTAAAACTTAAAGCAACGCAAACGAAAAGATGAAATTTAAGCTAAACAGTTTTAGAAGTAGCCAAAAGAAAGTCAGTCGTCTCTCAAGCAGAGCGTAAAAGCTCTCCGCAGCTTTTTGCCTTTAACGTAGCCTACTTCCGAGCATCCTACGAACAGACACACACACACCCACAGCCACACATAGAACCCGATCCTAAAATTGTTACATTTTAAATTGTTTGATAGTTTTTTAGCCTAGTTTTATGCAAATATTTTCTTCTGCTTTCATCTTCTACTTTCTCTAAATAATTTTTCCCACACCCGGCCCCTTCTTCTACTTTGTGACTATTCATATGTTTTTTTAGAATTAGTTTTTTCGGCTATGTTTCGCTTTAGCAGAGAAAAAGGAGATGAAAAGGAGAACAGAACCCTCACAGACACGACACGCACCAACAAAAATCATATTGTAAATAATTTCGTTGCCTTTTTTCAAATTTAAACTCAAAACAAAAGCAAACAAAACAAAAAACTACAAAAAGCATAAGAAAAACATGTATAAAGAATTGCAAAATGAAAACCCACAAAAAAAAAGAGAACACAAAAAAAAAGCTAAGAGAAAACCATTTAGAAATGAGCAAAGAACTTCCCTCCTCAGTTGCCGGGCACATGGCAGCTGTTTAGTTGTTAAGTGAGCTATGATTTTTATATAAACCTAAACAAAGAAAAAAACATTAAAAAACCAATCTAAAAAATTGACAAAAAAAAAGAACATGCAACGCAGAGAGAGACACACAGAGACAGACAGACACGACGGGAACGGACAGAACTAGTGCAAAAAGTGCAAAAATAAAAAGAAAAACTAGAAATGGAAATAGTTTTCGTTGTTAATTTGTTGATACTACAGTAACCTCTAACCCCCTCCCTCCACCCGCAGAGCTAACCCAGACATAGTCAGCTGGTTATACATAGAGTGGGAGTACTGTACTCTCGTACTACTTACTAACACATACACATCATCATCGCCCCTACACCACCCCCACCACCCATCCCCTACTTCACTTAATTTTTACCCACTTTTCCTTTTAGTTTGTAAACAATTTTATTCATTTATACAAGAAAAATAAATAAATTTCTTTTGGTGTGATTTGCAAGATCTTAAACAAAAAATATATAAAAAGCAAAACAAATTTTATATAAACAACTAACTAATTATGTTACGAAAAACAAGCAAAAACAAAACAATTTCTTAGTTAAGTTTATTAAATATTATTATTATTATTTGTTATATTTTTGAGTTACATTTACCTGCATACAAAATATCTAGACACTTAAGCAAATATATGAAAAATCCACAAAAAAAAACAACAACAACAATTAAAAAAATCAAACGAAATTTAAGTTTTATATTCAGCAAAGAAAGAAACATCGGAAGCGAAAATGGGAAGAAGCAACAGAAGTTTAATTAAGTTCCATTAAGCACTTTTTCTTTACAAATTTCAATAAGTTTTATTTATTCAATGGAGAAATGTGCAAAACCATTCAAAAGATACTACAAAAACAAACAAAAGCAAAGATTGATCGTAACAAAAGCAAAAAGAAAACAACATTTGAGTAATAATAAAAATCTAAGCGTTGCTTTTAAATATTGAAAACTCGTTTAATTTTTCGTTTTTCCTTATCCTCCACCCCTATCATATCCCGCTATATATCCATTTATCTCTCTATCACAACTCGGACACAGAGGAGACACAGATCGACAGCCATCCCTTCATTGTTAGTTTGTATCTAAGTAAATACAAGGATCTCAAGAAAGAGTTAAAGAAATAAATCCCATGCCGTAACCAAAACTAACCCTAACGATAGAACGCAAGAACTACACAGATTATACATGTAGATGATCTATATAGCATTATATAGCAATATGAACCTAGAGATTTAGCCAGAATGAACTCGTAAGTCGTTCCCCCCCTCACCATTCGTTCCTCCAATAGAGAGACCCAAACAAAATCAAACCCTAAAAGCCTTTTGCACTGCTATGAGACCACCTAGAGACAAACAACCACACAAATGAATATTATAATAATATTACTAATAATAAAGCAAAAGATCCCACAAAGACAAAAAAAATTAACAAAATTGCTGGGTGACATTTTGCAATATTTTGAGCTTCGGTTGTTGAAAGAATTAACACATACACACACACACACATACACACACACAAGTCTATACGATATTGATAAATAATAAACGAATAAAGTTAATTGATTAAAAGAAAAAATAAAGAAAAATAGTGGACTTGAGACCCTATTAACTATACTAAGCAGATTCAAGCAATTGCTACATATTTGTACAACAAAAAAATCATGTTATATTTATATACAAATATTTATGTCTAAGAAGATTTATTGATAATTGCGCGTAGAGGTGAAAACAGTTGAAACGTTTTGATATTTTGCTTTTTTTCGAGGCCTGGGCACTAGCACACCCCCCACCCTATATACAGACACATACTCCCCTTCCCGGCCATCCCTTAACATAAACTCAGTTTAAGCGTAGTTCTTTGTATATTTTTAACAATTTGTTTTCCGTAGTTTGTAGTGTGATTTTTTTTTAGCGAATCATTTTGTTTATGTAGAAAATTGTTCAATAAAAACCCAAGAAAAATTTATATTTCTTATGTTAATTGTTAATTATTTATTTTTAGGTAAAAACATATATTCCACACACACACACACACAAGAAGTACACATTTTGTGTAGCCTACTTTCAGGCTGCCGCTTCAAATGCGTTTTGCCCAGGCCAAAAGCAAGCAAAACAAAAGGCTAACAAACAAATAGCAAAGAAAGATAGAAAATTCCACAGAATTTGGGCAAATATTTTATGCAACGAGCATTAGTTTGTTGTCGTTGTATTCATTATATAGTTTGTATCTTTTCCAGCTTTCAAGCAAAAAAGGAAAACCTAGTTATTTCGCATAAGAATGTTCCGTAACAAATTGTAGACTTTGTAGCAACAACAGAAGACGATAAAAACTGAAAAGTAAGAAATGAAAATAAAAACCGAAATGCAGAAAACTAACGAAATTATGTTTAATATACAATATACATACATTTAAATATATATATATTTATTATATACAAATGGAAATTAGTTTAAAAAAAAACAAAATGAGTAACTTTTGTAGATAAATTCGTAGTTGATGATTTTTATATATATACATACCTTATACAGATACTAGTTATATTAGTATATATGTATACATATATATAGAGTACACTTAACTACATAGAAGACATAGAACAGTGAAGGATGCGAATGGGGAATCGATCGTTAGGCAGGATTAAAAATAGTAACTAAAGACACAAATTGTTGCAGTGCAAAGCAAAACAAATACAAACAAAAAGCGAAATTAGCAAAGCGATTATATGTATAAGGGTCACACGTATAGTTACAGTTAGTTAAGGGCGGGGCGGGGGGGGCAGGTGTGAGGGCAGTGAGTGTTTTTAGAGTGGAAGCAGAAGCGCAAGCGAAACCGGAAGTGCAGGCGCGAACAGATGGCAATGCGAAACATATTATATGCTATTATACATATACATATATATATGATTATATACATAATATTATATACATAACTTATACATATATACATATATATTCTTACATATTATTAAAGACAAAAACGTTGTTGAATTTTAAAATCAATAAAAGAAAATGCCCCCAGAAAAGCCCCAAAAAATAAAAATATATAAATGTAGTCAAAACAAAAAAAAAATGAACCGAAAAAAAACCCAAAAAATTGTTAGTTGTTGCAAGAAAAACAAAAAAAAAACATAAAGAAATCAAGCTAAATGATATTAAATTTAAAGTAATTAAAAAACCAACTAAACGAGAACATAACAAAGCGTTTTAGAGCCTTTACTTATATTTTGAGAATTTTGCAAAACGAAACGAAATGCAAGTAATTTTATATGTGAAAGAAAAATAGAAAAATGGATACGAAAAGCGCAGGAGAATGCATACAAAAATAAAGTTACAGCTAAGTCGAGGCTTAAATGCAAAACGAAAACCCAATTTGGTACTACATACATACAAAACATAGTGAAAAAAATCAGCTTAAGGCATTAGAGAAGTGCTAAAAGAAATCACAAGAACAAGAAAAAACCTATGCCTATTTGTTGTTGGCAGCATGCAAAACAAAACAAAAAAAAACTCAAAAACTAAATTACGGGAGAAAACCAAATCTAAAGTATAACTAAAAACTAAACAAAAAAAAACTAATGATGAAAGCCTAAGCAAGGACACTAACATGTACCTAGACACATATACAACAACAACAAACTAAAAAAAAAAAACCAAAAACGTAAGAAAACTAACAAAAAAAAAACAATTAAATTTCAAAACACAAGCCCTCGAGATGCTGCAGATACTAGTTATAATTTATGAAATGCTCGTAAACTCAAATCATTTGTTAATTGTTTTACACTCGACTTAATTAATTAATTAATTAAGCTTAAGTTCAAGCAAACAAAAATAATTCCATTAAGTTCTTTCTAAGTTTTTAACTAAGAGAATGTTTTGTGTTTCGTTTTCATTGGGCTTTGATTCGAACAAAACACAACAAAAATTAATTTAATTCCTAGAAAAAAGATTAGAAAGGATGATTAATGAGGAAGAGGAGAAGGCGATGTTTTATGAGAAACAGAAGAACAAACAATAAAGGTTTAGATACAAATTTTGAAACGATAAATGCAAAAAAAAAAGTACGAGTAAAAAATGTGTCTTTCTTTCAAGGAACATTGTCTACTTTTGTGCTGATATTTGGGTACAGTATCTGGCCTACTTGTGGCCTAAGCTTGATATGCAAAGCTTGTTGACCTTGCCGCCAGCAGCTGCATCTGCAGCTGGAAGATGTGCTATTTAAGGAACTAGAGGTCAAGCGGATTGCATAATGGGTAAGTGGAAGGAACCTGAAATGCGTTCAAAATGTTGCTGTAGCGGGGAGGAGATATGTTGCTAAGATAAATAAGGATATATTTCAGCACTTCAGCTGTATCTTGAACCCATTTTTCGCGTGCTTGGGCTGCCAAAGAAGTTCCTAAATGACCAGCTAACACATAAACACCTTGTTTCAGCAGTAAGTGCAGCCTGCAACAACCACTAAAGCCACCTGAACAACTCATTCGAAAGCCATTAAACCAAACTGCAACCGCGAATGGCAGTCGCCAAGCCCAAAGTGATTTGTTTGACCACTCAACACACCTTCGGACTAAGCCAAAGCAAAATTGAGCATAACCGAACCGAACATCACCCGAAACGGACATGGCTTATGCAAAAAAACTTTGAAAAACTAATTTCCTCATATATTGCTTGCAAAATAAAACCTCTCCAACATGAAACTCGCAGCTAATTTCCGTTGATTACAAGCGGCAGTTCCAGGCCAGGAACTGGGCGCCTGAGGCCTCGCCTCGGTATATGGCCAAAACCAAAAACCAGACCCGACCACACCGATCCATTTCGATTACTACTTCCCCCATGGGCATGGGAAGGGGGTGGGGAATTTTTGAATGTTGAAATAAATGCGAGCAATGTTCAAATATGTATATGCGGGGGGCCTCTGTCCCCGCCTCTCCGTGTCTCCTATGACTATTATGAAAGCGAAAAAAAAGGTAACAACAACCAGGCACAGGCACTTAAAATGTTAATAGCAACACACGAAAACTGGTAATCTGCAGGCAAGAGCTAGACAGGCAATCGTTGAACTTGAGCTTGAAATGGGCGCCAAGCGAAAGAGAAAGGTGAACGGTGTACGGGCCAGCAAGAGAGGCACAAAGAGAGCGAATCTCGTAAGCGAAGTGCATTTTGTTTGGAGGAGGGGGATCATCAGCCAAAAATCCAAATGAGGTCAAAGCGTCCGTCGTATGTAGTCTCCGTGCGCCGTATGCCGTGTGCGTATACGTAATGGCCGTTGAAATGACATAAACACATAACACACTAAATGTAAACTTAACAGAGAGAGACACAGCACTTATGAAACACACCAAATTCAATTAGTTGTTGTTGCTCTGCTGGCTGTCTGTCTGTCAGTCTGTCTGTCTGTACGTCTCTCTGTGCCTGTCGTCTGTCGCTGAGTGGCGCCGGAAATGCGCATCATACGATAAATGACGCCGCCCACTACAACAAACAGTACACCGCACTCTAGGCACCCACCCCCACCCCCACAAACGCCACTATAAGAGTATAAGTACCCCTGCCATATTCCACTGGTCTACCCTTTAACAGGGGGGTTGTTGGACTTCGTGCAGAGGTTTGACCTGCTCCGACCCGTTTCAGATATTATTTTAGTGTCTCTCTCCACAGTCTCTGCTGCCAGATTAAATATCAAATGACTATATAGTCGGATAAATGGTTATCTAAGTGTATCTAGTTCTTCGGCAATGAAGCTTCCCTTGAGTTGTGTCTGTTTTAGTTTTGGCGTCGCCTGTTTTGACAGTTGACGATTTGCCGGCAAATCTTTCAAAGGCGCCAACGAAAGAGCGAACCATTTGATGACGCAACAGATTTAAGAGCACCGCATAAATGACATAATACTCAGCCACTCTGTTACGCTCTCTCTCTCTCTCTCTGTTTCGCTCTTTCTCTCTCGTTTCTCTTACGTTATGTGGCGCGTTCGATGCTTGGAGCGCTCACTTTGGTTGAGTCGCCGCCCGCTCTGGAGCTCCGTTCATTCGCTGTCGAACAGCGAACACGTTCAGACACGCAGAGAGGGGATTACCACTAGACGCAAAAATATAAGACAACAAAAAAAAAAAAAATAGCACCAACAAAGTGGAGCGCGCAACGAATAAGCGAAAAAAAAAAATCATAGAGCCCACTCGAACACGTTGCTCTGCCGCAGTCGCTGTCGCCGTCACCGTCTCCGTCTCTGCCGCCACCGCCTGCTGAATCGTCGCGTAACGTAAGCGTATTACAAAACAAACTCTGAGCGACGACGCTGCTCCCCATTGTCGCGTAATCAGGCAGGCAGGCGCTCCAAAGCGCTGCGCTAGTGTTTGTGAGTGAATTTAACAAATTTTGGCTTCTGAGAAAATTGGCTAAAATATTGGAGGAGCCGCACGAGAATTCGCCGCGTGGCCCAGAGCCCCCCACCCAGGTGCCGCACACCTCCCAACAGCTCAAGCCCCCCCCACCCAACCCCTCCATCCTATCTAACGAAAGGAAAACCCGTGTGTGCGGCGGGGTTACGTAAAGCCAACCGTCGCGTCGGACAAGCGCTGTTCCGAGTTCTTACAAAACAAAACAACAACAACAACAACAAAAGTTACGCGCACGCCCCAACAACAACAACAACAACAGCAATCACAAAATAGGGAGGGGAAAACGGCAAGGAATTTCCCAAAAAATTTCGTTTTCTTTCGCACGCGTGTGGCCATAAATTCTTTTTGGCAAACAAATTCGAAAATCCACCAAATAAATTCAAGCAGAAAACCCGACAACAACAACAAAAAAAAGAGCGAAGCATATTTCCGTGAGTGTTCGATATGTGAATTAAGGAGAAACGAACGAAAGATTCTTCCACGGTGGTTAAAGGAAAAGCAACAGCAGACATCTAGACATCCAGACAGAGAGCCCCCCCCCCACCCCTCAACCCATCAACAACAATCCTACAACAGCAGCGGTAGCAGCGCGTCCCTCGGGGCAACAACAAGGAGGCGCGGTTCCGTGCACCAGAGACAGGTAAAGAGTCCAAAGAGAGCCGCTGCTCTTTCGTTTTCGCTCTTTGTGTGCGTTACGACATCAGGCCACCCACATGCTGCCTGTACTCGCATCTGTGTGGCTGTGTGTGTGTGTGTGTGTGAGTGTGCCCCGGAGTGCAGGTGTGTGTGTAATTTTAATGTGAATGAACGAACGGTCGCTTGCGCTCCAAAAAAAAAAAACTTGCATTGGCAAATCCAAGTCTCTCCCTCTCTGCCATGCTCTCACACTCGTATTTGCCTCTGGGGGTTGGCGGTTGGTGGGGGAAAAACCGTTTTTCCATCTGCTGATTGTGAAAACACAACTGCAGCTAGTCAAAGGGGTGGAGGAGGGCGGGCGCCAAAGAGAGAGAGAGGAACGGAGGTCGGGTGCAGTCGCCTCGCGCGACTCTTACGTGTTGCCATATTTTTAAAGGCATTACTAAGCGATTTTTTGCACCATTTGTTGACGTTCTTTGTGCTTTCCTGTTGTGTTCTTTCGTCCGTGTGGAGTGGTGTGGGAGGGGCGGCCCATCGTCTGCGCTTTGATAATCAGTTATATTTAATCGATGATAGATATATTTTCCCAAGAAAAACAAAATATGCCATGTTAAATTAATTGTTGTTGTTGAATGTCAACGAATCGGCGGCGCCAAGGGGTAGGGAATGCCGCAGTAGCAAAGGCAAATTAGGAAAGAATAATGTAAAAAAGTAATTATTATTATTATTTATTTTATCAGACAATTCAAGACATTGTGGTTCAAACAATTACTCAATACGTAAGCCGTAGCTTTTTTCGGGGTCACCAATCGCACCATATCTCCACTCACCATCAAAATGGCAATCACCCTCTTGCCCTGCCTGCAGCAAAAGCCCACGCTGCAGTTTACTGCTGCCTCCAATCCCAGTCTCTGTCTCTGTCTCTCTCTGTCTCTATTTCTCGTTACGACACTACGTTGCACGCATTATGCGACGTGGCTGCTGCCAATGACGAACTGACAACCGCACTCATTCATTCGCCTCTGCCGCTGCCTCTGCTCAGGTCGCCCACTTGGCCTCAAATGAAATGAAAAAACTGTTAACAAAAATAACAACGAGGAAAAACCTATTTGCATACGTCATCGTCACACCGTTACCCGTTGGGTAAAAAAGGTTTGTCATGAGTCAGACTCGATTATCGAGAAAACCAATGAGCCAAGCATGCATACCATGCATGTAAAGAGGAGAAGAAGAGAGGGTGTACGACCCCTTTGCTTTTCAATTATATAAACAAACAAAAGATACAACAATTATAACATTATGTAAGAGGAAGCTAACAACAATAACAACAATAACCAATTAGTCACCATATAGCTTAGCATGACGAGGGTTCTTGTATAATCAAAGCTAAATCAAAATTGAAAGAAATCACAAAACTAGAATTTCTGTTGCTAATTGGCTTTTGACTCAATAAAACGCCATTCCATTCGGTTGGTGTTTGTTGTGTTTTCTGTGCGCTGTTGTTCTTTTGCCCCGAGGCTATTTTTATGAGCATTTATCGTTATAAATACAATGTCATAAAATATGTGTGTGCGAGAGGCATGAAAACCGGGCACAAAACACAAACACAAACAACAAAAAAAAACGCCTGCAAGCAAATGAGAAACCAATAAAACACATATCAAAGGGGAGGAAATCGGAGGAAAAGAAAAACAATAACAACAAAAAAAACCGCCAGCCAAGGCAATGAAAATTTTTGTTGATTTCGTAACATTGATTTCGTAATTAAGTGGAAATTATGGCATCGAAGCACAATCAATTTGATTCGTTTAATTGTTATAAAACCTAACGAGCGAAAGAACTTCACAGACCAAGATATAATGCAACTCGAAAAGAATTTAAATGTGTAAAAGTATATATGTAGTGGTAGATAGTTGATGGTGTGAGGATGCGGGCCGTCACTTATCGATTCAGGTACGGTTCTGGTGCTAATTCTATTGTTTCAGCACATAGAAATTATTATTGGCATAATAATCGTAATGATTATGCAATGTAATTGATTCCCAGTGTTATCGAATGCAATCACCTATCGAATGGAGCGACAGATCAACAACTGCTGGCAGTGCAGGCAGCCAGCCCCTGCACTAGAATGCCATCGAAAAAAAGTGTTCGTTGTGTCGTGGCTGCCCCATGCCATATTGTCTGTGTGCGATAGCGAAAGCAGTCATCAAATATGATTGGCGGGCAGGCGTTGCATAATGGGGCAGACGACGGCGAATGCGGTTGAAAAAAAATACTCGTAAAGCAATATAGCAGGGGTAGCCAGATGTAGATCCCTCGGCGGGAGAACAGTAGCACTCGCAGGTCGTATTTGCTGTTCATTTAGGAACGTTTATCAGCGTGGAATTACGCAAGCTACACAGACATTTACATTTACACTACACAAGGCGGCATTTTACGATGGGCAGTTAGATGCACAGACACAGAGACACATGCTCTTTGGTTGTTGTTATATGGGGCGTATACATAATTTTAACTTACGCAAAGCAAAAACCAACAACAACCACAACAAGCAACACAGCAAGGGGACAGCCTGAGCCGAAACAATTAAAATCGAGTGCCAGCCCCAGTGCCTGAAAGCCAAGTTGTTTACCAACATTTTCCCCCCTCACAGAACCCAAACAACACATTGCTAGTGCGTCACAATGCCAACTGATATTGCCTGCTTGCCGCCTTCTACTTCTACTTCTCTCACTCTATTCTATATACATATATACATATATATATCGTTGGACAATATTGTACTTCAAATGGTTCGTAGTTTGTGCCACAGCACAGTTTTATTCCCAAATAATCTACAAGTGGGTGAGGGATTTCTCAAGTATTTAAAGGTCGATTCTTGTGAAAGCTGAAAGGGAAATTTCTAGTGAAAAGACTCAACAATGCAAGGGAATGTTATATGAAGTGAAATTGGCAATGAAACGAATAAGGGAATCAGGGGAAAACTATGCATTCATCAAATAAAATTCCTGGAAACACCCGCAATGGCTAAAAATATAAATTGGGATGTAATGGATTATAAATGCTTGCTTTTGACTAATAAAAGATTTAAATCTAGTGGACAATTGAGGTTTAATCTGTGAAATTTTAGCCTACATAGCCTTCTACATATTCAGGCGCCTTTTCTCCTTCAAAGATACATATAGAGAGAGAGCTAAGAGACTAGCGTGAGTTTCACTGTTTCCCAGGGATTTATGTAACAGCCGAATGTCGGCATGGCGGAATGACAGACACATGGCACATGTCACACATGTATTCCTATTATAAATTTGATATAAAAAGCTGCTTCTTCATGTCATGCCCAGTGTCGTGTCTCGATCTCAAATAGATCGTATTGTATGTCGCCGCGTCTGCCTTCAGAACTAGGCAAAAACACCCTTGATAAATTCATTTTCTTGGCTTACTACCAACTTATTCAGATATTTCAGCATTACTTAACAACGAGATTTATGCAAAAGTCTGATACGAATTTATCATACATATCTCTCTCTCTCTCTCTCTCTCTCTCTCTCTCAATACAATTCTTGCTCTACGGATCTAGACGGCAAGAAAGAAGGAGCAAATTTTTATTTTTTCTGCACGCAATTTTGTTTCTGCTTTTTTTTATTGGGTCTGTGTTTTTTTTTTTTTTGGCACACTTTGATTGTCGTTTGCATAGTTTTTTTTTTCGTTTGCTTTTGCGCTCAAGAAAATGTAAACAAATTATAAAAAAAAAAGCGAAAAATAACTATAAAGATTTCGTTGGCGGGGCAAGCAAGCGACAAAGACAAAAACGAGAACGAAAAAATTGTTTACATAACAAAACCAGAATGAATGTGAAGGAAACAAAAAAAAAAAGGAAGAGACAGACATAAAAATGCTCTTCGCATGGCAGTACAGTACACATGTGTGTGTGTGTGTATCTGTGTTCGTGTTATGCCGGCATTGTTTATCTTCAAGATACAGCAACAACAATAACAACATCAAGAGTGAGAACACTGCAAACGAATGAACGAACGAACGAACGACGTCAAAAGCAAAACGTGCGCACAATCATCAAAGCGAAACACAAGCCAAACAACAAAGCAAAGCAAAGCAAAGCAAAAGAAAATAAAAGAAGAGAGCGTAAAACACACACACTCACACACACATAGACATAACGGAATGAACGGAAGAACGAGAATGTGTTCTCAAAGAGAAAGAGAGAGAGAGCGAGAGTTAATCGTTAAAGAGAGCGAGGCAAAAGAGAACGAGCGCGAGAGAACCTAAAACGGTGATTTAGGTGATTGTATTTGCATCTGCAGCTGTGTGCGTGTGTGTGTGTGTGTGTGTGTGTCGATGATTTTGATTTCGTTACTTGGAGCAGCGTCCGCGTCAGTCTGCCAACCGCACTAGCCGCTCTTGCCATATGTGAGTAGCCAGCCATAGCATGGGAATGAGTGTGTGGATTCAGTGTTAATTTTCATAATATTATGTAATAGCATGTGCGACAACTGTCGGAGTTCTACGAGTGTCTCTGGGCAGCGGCTAGTAATTAATTTTAATTGAACAGGGACAGGGGTCCCTCCCTCCCTCCAGCTTGCGGTCTTAGACTCGAAATCAAAGTTCAATGAACTCTAGACTCTGACTTCGAGTATTTTCCCACAAGAATTTATATAATTTCGTGGGTTTCAGGGGGGTTTGCAAATAATCAACATTTAAGACGCTGCATACCAGAGAGGGGTGTGGGGTACGGGGTACATTCTCCAGTCTCCAGTCATCGCTTGTCCGGGTGTTGATTAAGTAATGGATACAAAGCTTCTTCTTCATCGACAGTAATGGGGAATAAAAAAAAAGAGAGACAGACACAGAGAGGATCCAAGAGAATGTCTCTCTTTGTTGTGTGTGTGTGTGCGTGTGCCTGTATTTGTGTGAATTATAAAACAGAATCAAAAGCTGCCTCCGAGAATCAGGCATTTTATTTCATTTCATTTTTAGTTTCTGTTTTTGTTGTTGTTGTTGTTGTTTCGAGCGTTACGTAAATCCGCCGCCGTTGCCTATTCTATCTGCTTCTTGTTCTTCTCTCTTTGAGTGACTCTCTTTCTCCTGTGCTCTCTTTGTTCTCACACTCAATGCCGCTCTTCTTCTCACACTCTCTCTCACTGAATGTGTTTTTTTTTTTTGTTTTCAGATGTTGCCGTCGCTGTCAAAACTTCTTCTTCAGTTCGTGTTTCGTGTTTCAGTTCCACAAAAACAGCCCAGAGCACCGCACGCGCATCAGAATTATTATTCCAACGAAATAATCGAATAATAATAAAATATATGAAATAAATTAAATTAAATTAAATTAAAATATATCTGATACATAACGTAATCAAAGTGGAGTGATGTGAAGTGAGAGATATCGGAAAGATAGCTAGAGATAGTAGGATATAGAGATTATGTCCACTGTTTTTCCGTACAAAGGCAAGAAAACGCGAAAAGTGAGCAGGAATTTCGTGAGCAACGAGAACTACTGTTGCAGCAATACCCCCCCAACCGGCCATCCGGCGGGGCCGTTGGGCATACGTGACTGCAGGCAGGTGCAACAGCAAAGAGCCGCAGCGGCTTTTGTAGCAGCAGCAAACTTTACGGGAAAGATGCCTCTGTCGCAGGGCTACTGCCTGAAGCCCTCGCTGGCATCCAAGAAGCGGGTGCTCAAGGTCCTGCGGAAGGAGAACCAACAGCATATGCAGCAGCAGCAGCAGCAGCAGGACACCCTCCCGTGCCACGGCGACAGCCATCTACAGTGCTACCTACCGCACGGCGACAGCAAGAACTCCCTCAATCTGTCGTATCTGCTGGGCGAGTCCTTCGCCAAGGTGGGCAGCCTGGCCAAGGCCTTCGATGTGTACGAGCTGATTGCCAGCCGGCAGCTCGACGGCCACGTGCCGCTCGACAAACTGGGCATCCTGGCCAGCGCCCTGACCAACCACATCCGCCAGATGGGGGGCATAGCCTCGCCGCCGAGCAGCCCCAGCGCCAGGACACAGGATATGATGCCCCCCTGGCTGCACTACCAGCAGAGCACCAGCGCTGGAACGCCAGCAGGAGGAGCAGCAGCTGAGGGACTGGCATGCGCCATGGTGCCCAGCCCAGCGCTGTCCGCGGACTTTGATCCGCTGCTCTGTCCGCTGTGCGGCGACATCCTGCGCTGTCCGGTGACCACCAACTGCGGGCACACCTTCTGCCGGCAGTGCTGCGAGACCATCACCCAGTGCAACATCTGCCAGGTGAAGTTCCCCCGCGTACAGGACGCCTCAACGCGCGGCGGAGGCATGCCAACCGCCTGCGCCCTGACCACCACAACGTCGAGCAGCGCCGGCTCCAGCTTCTACGCGGGATTCGGTGCCGCGTCCACGAACCAGAGTCAGAGCCTCAGCCTCGTCAGCGTTCCCATGGGCTATGGCCTGCGGATGGCCAGCCAGATGGCCGCCGCTCCCATGACAGTGACCACCACCACAGTGGCCTCCACGACAGCGACGGCCACGACCACCATGGCCTCCACATCGGCGGCGGCGTCCGGCGCAGGCATCATCAGTGGCTATGCGTTGGGCGGCGGTAGCTCCGCCGCGATGAAATTCATGCCGGATGTCCTGGTGCGCCGCCTGGTGGAGAAGTGGTGGGGTCCCGATCTGCAGGCCAAGGAGATCAGCGAGAAGGCCAGCAGTTGCATGCACCTCAACCTGCTGGACGAAGCGCTCAAGTTCTGCAATGCAAGTCTCGATAAAGGTGAGTGCCTATAACTTAATTTCCCCCGCTTTCCACAGTGTTCGATTAGGGGCACTTTCCTCTAGATTTTTCCTAGAGCTGTCATTAGCTTTTCTCCCGGTGCAGCAATCCTTTAACCTTCAGTGCCTGTGTGTGCAAAATCAATAAAGGGCAGGGCCAAATGGCAGAGCAGTTCGATTGACGTACGAATGCGGGCAAGGAGGGGGGGGGGTTCGATGCCACAAGCAGAAGAGCAACAAGTTCTCGCATCCATCCAACCACATCATATGTTCATTCCGCCCACGCGTTGTATCCTTCGTAACCTGGCTCCTGTTGCGGCGTAGGCGTCATTGGCGTATGGGGCGTATGCGTAATTTCTGCAATAATTTCCCTTTGAGCCTCGATGTCAACTTGTTGTTCCACTAATTGTTGTGTTGTTGCAAGAACCCAATCAAATATTTATGAAGCCAAATGCAAGAGCAAACAACACAGCCCTTGACCCACAGCGAGCCGCAAGAGAGCGTTAAATTTCATCTGATGGCTACGTGAAATGTGGCACGCGCAACCGAATGACCGACCATCTGCTATTCTGAGAGTGTCTCTCATCTTCAATGAATTATTGAAGCGCTGAGTCAGAGAGACTTTTCAGCTCAAGGGGATTTTCCCCCTTCAAGAAAATTAAACAAAAAAAACCAAACAAAAACAAAAAAAACACAGCTAATTAATCATTTTGCCACAGAGAACGAAAATAGTTTTGCTTTTTGCTTTTGCTGTTTCTGTTTCGCTTTTTTAAGAAACGAAATCACAAACGATTTACGCACTTAGAAATCCATCAAACAAACTGCTTGAAGTACTGCTGCTGCCATAAGGAAAAACAATCCAACAAAAGACAGAAGGCACAAGACGCCAAACGCCGAACGCAAGACGGAAAGCAAAACACTTGACGTGACACGCTGGAGGAGGAGGGTGGAGGAGGGAGGCGTGGAAACACACACAATGGAAATGACGGACAGAATTAGGTGGAGTGGAGTGGAAAGAGTGTCAGAGAAAAGCTAAAATTAACCAGATCAAAGATCACGAACAAAATATAGAACCAATGAAGAATATTTAGCGAATGTTTAAATTACGAATAATGTTTGTGGGAAATGAATGGCATTAATCTTAATTATAGCTAGGTTTCTACTTACATTTACTTACTGCAGAAATCTTTTATTATTTTACTTCTTTGTGAGGGAGAAACTCTTCATTGGAATGCGTTGCGTTGCGTTGGCTCCTTAAATGAAAGATGCATAAATATTCATGAAATTCGTATGCCTCAAATGAATTCTATATTAAGAAATATTTCAAATTTCTGATGAAATCAATGTGCTTCTGATTCTGATTCAGATTCTGCTTCTGATTACCCGGTGACTCATTTTGTTTGCTCAACTCTATAAATATTTCCCCCCCCCTCCCCACCACAATTCTGTTGGCAGTTTTGAGTCTGGTCTTAATCCCCAATACGCGTTTTATTTGCTGTTTGCCAATCAATATTTGTTTCTTTCTGATGATTTTTCCACGATTGGTTTTCCGTGTTTGCCCACAGCACACACAATTAGATGGCAGTTAGATGGGGAAGTTCCATTCAATTTATTCTCTATATTTCTGTGCAGAACATATCGCTCTCTCTCTCTCATTCTCTTGTGAATCACAGAGAGTCACTTTCACCTCGCCGGGGCACCTAATGCATCAAAAGTGACAACATTTCTCGATTGTCGCTCGTCGTCTGAGCAAGTGTGTGGCGTGGCGTGGCGTGTGTGGGGGCGTCGGTGGTATGAAATTTTTCACCTCTGTTGCGTGACACACTCCACACACACACACACACTGGGCAGGGCAGGGCAGGGCGCTGCGGTGTTACTTTCATAATTATCATTATCAAGGTGTACTTTGCCACATGGCTCGCTCGCGAGTGCGCCTGGGTGCCTCTGTATCCGTGTCTGTGTGTGATTAGTCCAGCTTTTCGGTGGGGGGCTGACGCATCATCGCACACATCCATCCATCCATCTATCTATCGTACGACTTTGTTTACCTTAAACATTATAATTACTGTGAGAGCCGAGCGCTTAAATGGGGATTATATGTATGTAAATATATTTCGGTGATGGAAATAGAACGAAACGAATGCTCCAAACGCTCCAGAGATTGCGTTCTATTTATAAGAATTTCCATTTCTCTCTCTCTTTTTTTCTCAGTGCCACAATCAGGTATTGACTCTTTTGGCTTTTGGCTTTGACTTTGGCCAATACAAAAAAAAAAAGAGCACAAAAAAGAAGAAAAAATAAAAAATACTCATAGCTAACATTATTGATAAACGTATTGCAAAGTCATGGCCATACAAATTATTGAACAACAACAAACAACAACCCACATAATAAATTCAAATATTGTGATGCAGAGAATCAAGAGACAGGGAGAGAGAGAGAGAGAGAGAGAATCTCAGGCAATTAAAACATTTTAGCAGTGTTTTTGCTTAGGCAACACCCACCGCAGTTTAGCACATCACAGACACACACTCAGAGTGTGGCAGCCGGAGCCAAGTGGCCACTTGACAACGGAGCTGTCAGCAAAGGGCACAGCGCAGGGCAGGGCAGAGCACAGGACGAGGTACGAGAGCAGATGAGATGAGCGATGACTTCTGACAACAGTCATATCCACCCATGCATGTTTTTAGCAGATTTTCCGCCAAGGTTTTTCAGGCAATAAGAGCTCCAAAAATGACACTGAAGTCATGGTGTAGCGTCTAGACAGCAGCGCGTATTTATACTCTACCTTTGCAGCGGGGTGTTATGGTTCTGAGCAGATTTATGCAGTGTATACACACTGATCCTGAGCTACATCATTGAAGAAATCTGCTGGAATCCTTTTCATTTTTGCACAGATTGTACCCCATAGCGTTCAGAGTATCTCCATGCTTGGCTTCCACAAGTACGCGAATACCCCCGTCGCCCTTGTTACTTGTTTAATTATTAACATGCACATGTTCCTTTTTTAATGGCTTAAACCTCTGAATGTAGTCGTTGACCTCGTGAGGCACGAGAAAAAAAAAACATAATTAACCAACAAAAATAAATAAAAAAAGAAGCGCAGGGAAGGTGGGACAAAGCAAAGAGAACGCGAATGCTCTCCCTGTAATAAGTGGAAAAGGCTGTTAAATGAGCCCACAACAAGGACTTGGCCTGAATACATATTTGGTTAGCAGTGAGGCAGACAGAGAGGCGGAGGAGGCAGTGCTGGGTGTATGGGGTTTTTCTGGTGGCAGCAACAATTTTCATTAGGAATATTGCATTGGAAATGCCCGCATGTCATGCAATGCCAGTTTTTTTTTTCAGTGCTGTGTGGCTGGCTCCACTGGGCTCCTTTGATGGCTCCCTAATTTATACGATAATATCCACACACATAAAATATATAGCTATGTATGTATGTATGTAGGTATATATTATATGTCCGATCGTATAATTATATAGCGTGTGTTTCGTGTGCTGTTTCGGCTGACCAGTTGACTGCATTTAATGTTCCACATTTTTGCGTTTTTCTTTTTTTTTTGGCTTGAAATTCTCTCCCTCTCGCGTTGCTTGGAAATGGAAAGAATGAAAGAATTTAGCACGCGGCATGCAATTAATTTGGCTCTATTTATGCCTCCATTGCTGCCACCAGGCACGTGGCATTATCCGCACCAGCACCCGCAACCCACCCCTATTGGTTTTTCTTTTCTCTGGAAATCTCTTTTTACCACACGAGCATTTTCGTGGAACTAGATTTTTTATGTCCAGGCTAATGAGCGGCAGCTCTCGATTGTGGGGGGGAAATCCATTTCAATTTATGCGCCTATCCAAATTGTTATTTTTTTTTTTTTGGTAATTATCATGCCTCAAAAGGTGTCATTCAAGGTGGGGTGCCTACCTTTCTTTTCTGGGAATTTACTTGGGAATTTACTTATAGGATTATTTGCCTGCTCTGCTATCTATTGTTGCTCCTGCGTATTAAAATTAATTGCACTTTCCTTGGGGCAGTGGGAATCGCTGAATCAACAATTCCAGTAGTCAAGGGCGTACCCCGAGAACTCCCAGACAGACTTTGTTGTTGTTTGCTTTCTTTGTTTTGGAAGAGACTTGAGTACATCAGTAACCCGTAACCCACATACACAGCCGATATGATATGTGGGGACGAGAGAGTGTTCGAGTGCTCAAGTGAGAGGGGGGTTGAGTCAAGTCCCTGACGTGCAATAATATCCATTCATGTGATTAAGACGTGACGCGCTTATCGCATCGCGGGCACAGTCAATACCACCTGATAAACGTTCTTCTATATATGGGTATGCACCCACATATATACATATGTAGGTCTAAATATATATAGGGGTTATATATAGTATAGGTTCCATATGGGGAAGATCGCCTTGATCTTATTTGCTTTCGCTGCGTTTCCTTTGTCTTGAGTATCTTTAAACATTTGCTTGCTTTCCATTGTCGTCACTAGACTTATTTTCAAATGAAAGCTCAACCTACCTCAGGTCTACCTCAGTTCACCCCGCTCTAGCTGTTCCTCACACGCCCTTTAATCCGCCGCTTTCTGCCACCTATATTCTCGCTCCGTTGAGACCAGTTTCTTACACACTTCTGATGCCCATTCATTCAGGATTTATTTATTCCCTTAACTATTACCTTTGAGTGCATTAGTTTTAAATGCAGATCACTTTATCTTAAAGCTACCATGGGTATAATGGGTATCGAATCCTTGTTCTCTCTCTCTCTCTCGCTTTTTGTGTTTTTTGCAGCAATCATTCAGAGTGAGTGCACTCATTAACATTTGCTTCCAGTCATTTTGCTGCTCTCTTTTTGTTGCTGCTAACATTTTTTAATTAGCCAAAACCAAAACCAGAACCCTCACCCTACCCTCCCTGCAGCCTGCACACTCATTTAACATTTCATTTAAGCTCTTTTTGTTGGCTTTTAGTCTTGTTTTTTTTTAGCCAAAGTGCAGAC